CTTCAAAAATCATCTATTTATTTATTTAGAGCACCTACTACAAAGCTACTACAATAGCACTTACTATTAACACTTTTACCTGTGCAGTGGAGCAAGAAAAAAGGACAGAAAGCAGACAAACACTCTGAGGACTGTGCTACCCCAAAATGCAATGGATGAGCCTAGCACACAGAGCAGTGGGGACACTATACGGGGCCATTCCTGCACAGAGGCCTTTGGATCCTGGGATATGTTCTCCACAGAGTTTAGAGGAAGAGAATCCACCGCAGGGAGTCCCAGAGAGGACCAGACATCCTGAAACCAGCTCTGCCTATGGTAGAACAATAGGGAGGGGATTGAAAAATATATACTGTAAACATTTTATAACTGTATAATTCGCAGGCAAAAATTTATTTGTATTGTCAAAACTGAACACTGCCTGAAAGAAAATATCTCCTGTATCAGGAATCACCTGAGCAGCAGCAGCAGCAGGAGGATGGGCAGTTCCAGTTTGTGGAGCTGTAACGATTTACTCATGCCCTCTTGGATTCCAGCAGGATGCCCAGATCTTTTGATGGAGCTCAGCTGAGCCCTGATCATCAGAAGAAGCACTACAGCTGAGTAGACAGGCAGAACTGGACCACAGAAACGCAGAATCTAAAGAAAAACAAATCCTTTTGAATATGAGGAATACTCTGAGGTTGAAAGTTAACAGCATGCCAAATGAAATACCACAATGTAAGCACACCTGCCCAAGCACTTTGGGGAACGAAGTCCGAATAGACACCTATAAAGACAAAATACAAAATTTGCTGCCGATAACTGATAAATTTGCCTTTAAGAAAACAACAAATGTGGATTAAATACCTTGTATTGGCAGTTGGGGGCAGTGTGGAGCTGCAGGAGGGCACTGGAGGCGTTGTCTGGGCGGCTGGTGTGAAGCATGCTGTAGATGTCAGATACCAAAGGAATACTTTGGTGGAAAAAAAGTCAGTCATAAATAACACAACCATCAGTACTCTGCCGCAAAAACAGAGCTGAGGAAAGTTAGCTGATTAATGACAAGACTCTTTCTACCTTGCCGTATCAAAGGAGTCTTCACGAAACCAAGGTACCCTCAGTCTGTACACACTGGGCAGTCGGTCTGTTTAACACAACACAGACACAGTATCAGTCTTTTAATTCATCATGCTTCATTTCTGGCAGAAAAAGCTGAATAACTGGTTACCTTTAGTGGTTTTGCAGTGACTAGTGATTGTTATTCTGAAAGCTTGATAGACCTGAAGGAACACAAACAAATTCACTTTTATTATGCTTTCGGGTACATGTCTTATTTTAATTAAAGATTAGGGTGTAACAGATTACTGAATAGAACATCAACCTAGGGAGCTATTCTAAAGACCATTATGGGATTTGTACCATTATAAAAGCTTCTACTATGAATGGACATCTGAAAAATAGAGAAATAAATTCTATGGAGAATCTGAGGTTCAAAGGGAAGGAGAGCAGAACAACAGGGAATGCTGTGAGCGATCACCTGATGAAAGTCTTGCAGCTGTAGTGTATGAAGCAGCCCAGAGGAGTTAATGCTGATGTCACTAACAGTCAGACCTACAAACCGTCACATACAAGTTAAAGCATCCACATAGAATAAACACAACAAATTATTATTATTTTATTAAAGACTGACAGTGTAAGATTATTACATTGTATTACATTACATACAGGCCTATTTCATGTTAACAATGTGTAAAAATAGCTGTCATTAAGGCAAAATGGGCAACTAAAAAGCACTGCTCTGTATGACAGCATCTGGTAAATGCCTTGAAAGTAAAATGCAAACACAAGCATGCAGTTCAGTGGCTCACCAAAGGACAGCACATGAGGCACCTGCACTGAGACAGTCAAACTCTCCTCTCTCTGTAGCTCACACTCCACTACAAACTACAATCAGACAATCAAGCATTTAGAAAGCATCTAAAACATCGAGCTCATCGCAAATTATTTTGACAAACCATTGAATGCATGTTTTAAGAGGGGAAACGTCTGCTAATGTGGTCTGTCTTGTAATGCAAGTTCATTACGAACATGATAATGTGGACTGTAAGTTAACTTCTAACCTCTGTTCCACTGGGGTTTGAGGCGTCAATGATGAGATGAGAGACAGACAAAAGTTCACTGATTTTCACTGTAACAGCCTATAAAGAAACACAGACCATTTTTACAACAATTTTTATTTTAAATGTAGCTATATAATGCATTACTGAATAAACTAGAATGACCTTATAGGCTGGAAGAAGCTCTGTCTGAGATGAGAGATCTACTGCCTGAACACTGGGTAATTGGGAAAAATAGATAAGAAAGCAATTTTCAAAGCAAATAATATAACACACACTATACAATTTACATTATAAACTAGAGTCCAAATTAATGATGGTATGGATCAACATGTGTGCAATGCACCAGACTTATGAAAATGTGCTAACTTTACGAGTGCGGATTCTGTAAGGGCCTGGTGGTAATTATTTCTTTTTGAGAGGAATTTATGTGGTTTATTTTACTCACCACATCGAGCCACTCATCTGTGTACAGCCATACAGCCAGCTGGTCATTTCCTGTTGAACATGTACAAACTAAATGGTTCCGTAAAGAACCTTTACCATCTGAAGAACCTTTCTGTTTCACAAAAGG